ACACCTTGGCCTCGTGCCTGGTGAGCACTGAGAATGTTGGCTGCAACTGTGACTAGAAATGCAAACAGCAGAGAGATTCCCATCAGAGAGTGTCAGGGTTCCTTCTGATCCTGAAACTCCCCGCACATGCCATGCTCTCCCACACCTCTATGACTTTAAACATGCTGTTCTTTTGATCTGAAATACTGTTCTCACTATATCTATCTTCCAGACACACTCGTTTACATTCTTCAAGTCCCAGTGCAAGTGCCACCTCTTCTATGAAGCCTACTCTGATTGCCCTCCTCTAGGCTTCCACCATGATTCTCCCCCATATCCTGGGATTCTAGTACCACAAGAGAATGGATTCTGTTTCTCTGTATTACTTTTTTTTTTTTTTTTTGCACTAAGTTTCCCTTTATCCAGTCTGAAGTTTCCTCCAAGGGACAGGACCAGGTCATGGCCACTCTCCAGGCTCCATCTCTGGCCACTCCTCCCATCTTCCCACTGACTTTTCTCAACCCCAACTCCCCACCTACGCCCTTCTTGGGAATCTGAAACCTCCCCTCCTCATCCAGGGAGCTGCAGAGTGGTCATTTCTTAGGGAGGGGGTGGTGCCGGGAAAGGGCAGGGATTGAGAGGTGCACAGACTGGGGGGAGGGTCCTACTGTATCTCTCTGGCGCTAGGCCAGCGATCAAGACACATTCCTGTGCCAAATATTCCTCCTTCTTCCCCCAAGTCTTGCAGTCCCCTGAAACATCAATGCTGGCAGGCTTAGGGGAGAAACTCACACTCCATATTTCATGTTCATTACCACCTGTGATCCTTCCTCAAAGAACCCTGCCTCGTGAGGCATTTGACAAGAGAAGCAAGGAGCTTCTGAGAAATGTTAAGGTTTGGCCAAGATGACTTAATTTGTAAGTTGCAGAGCTGGGATGCAAACCCTAGTCTGTCTAAACCCAGAGAACATGACCTTTCTAAGGCTGAGGCTAAGGAAGATAGGGGGAGAAGAGAACAAGCTGGCAGCAAGATGGTGGAGCTTTCAGGACCTGGACTGCCGGGAAGGGGTGCTAAGACAGCACTAGCCAGCAGGTGTCGCTGTGACCACCAAACTCAAGTTTCTGAAGGAAGTAGGTAGTGAGGTAATCAAGAGGAAGACTGAGACTGTGGGGCCCTCCCTGGTGGCACAAGGGGTTAAAACACAGCACTACAAAGCTAGCCACAGCTGCTTCAGCATGAGTTGAATCCCTTGCCAGGCACGGCAGACCTCTCCTGTCTCACCTGCTGCTCC